ACTAAAATATTTTTTTAGTGTGGCCTCATGTGTGTCGGAATAGGTATAATAAATATATTTCATTTTACAGTATTTTAGTTTTTATGATTATTAATCAACTTATGGTACGGTAATAACTTTTATTTTTGTTTTTTTTTTTATTTTTCTTTTGTGTCAATTTCAATTTGTCCTCGTTCTGTGAACAAAATAACACGGCTACACATTTTAAAAGACAAAACACAATTATAATTCGATCAACACTTTGACTTATTATACTAACTTAGCATAAAAAACCCAGATAAACGAGATGCATGCTCCAGATATTCTATAGAATTTTTAATTCACCAGTAAATCAGAAAATTATGTCCATCTTCAACATTTCTTTTTTCATTTGATGTGTGTTATATCATTTTGAATATCTTACAATGCACATAAAAAAAGACTAGGTTTTTGCGATGTCCAATATTACGTGCGATGATGCGTAGCTGCATGGTAGATACTACATGAATTACATCATTTTGATTATCTTTGAAATCACTCACACGTGGCGGTGTACACATAACACACAATATATGACTTTAAATACCTGGGGCAATTTATACTTCCGTTTATTGTCCCTTTAACTAGCCAGTGTATCTGTGTATAATGTATTTACCGACCGTGCAAGGGCTGTATAGCCAGTCAAGGTCGTTGAAACCTCCATTTGTTATGATGTATCTCTGGCTCCATTGATAGACTCCCATAATATAGTCGAGTGCGGATCCCGGATTTTGAAAAAAATGTTGGAGGACGAAAAGACAACATTAGAAATGGGACTAATGTATGAAGTTTATATAATGCATATACCATTGAAGCAGCCTCGATGATAAATTGACATCTAAGACGGTATAAATTAAAATTCTGTATGACATGTCACGAAGAGGAGTCGAGATATATGCGACATATTTTATTATATGTCCTCACAAAGGTGGTCTATTTCACATGTTTTCGGACATTAAATCTATTTCTTGTGTGACAGTTTGCTGACTGTTAATGTTCATCATAACCTTTTCGCAAATAGGGCCGTATTTACACTACAAATTTCACTCTGAGTACAGACAAACCTGTGCATCTTGAAAATTTTTAGAGTATTGGGTGGGGGGGGGGGGGTAGGACCTTTATCGGGACTCCGGGATCGGGTGTTTTTAAGCTCGGGATTTCGGGATCCGGGAATTCTTTTTTCGAATTTCGGGATGTCGGGATTTACATTTTTTTAAATTCGGGACCTCGGGATTCCATGTTTTTAAGCCCGGGATTTCGGGATCAGGACCCCTCCTACCCCCCTCAGTATGGCAAGACCTAGATAAATAAAATTTAAATGCATTTTAAGTTTCAGAATATTGAAAACTTTACTAGATTTTGCTATTCATTTTTTTCGTTCCTGCAGAAGGTGCCAAAATAAACTAAGGTGGAGAGAATCGGAGACGTTAAGGGCTTGAATAATTCGAGTTAGGTAATTACATGGGCCGAGGACACAGTTATCGTTCTTTGGTTTTTGTTTACCTAAAGTCGTGGTGTGAACAGTGTGTAACTAGCATTTTTTTTTTATAATACACTTTCCCAATTTATTTCTTGATATCTAATGCATGAAATTTTATGTAAGTGGATGAAATTACATATTAAAAAAAATTGGGTGCTGAATCTTTATGTTAACAGAGACATATAAATTGTATTATATGTCTCTGATGTTAAGTAGTGATTTGGTCCAGTTAAAAAAGGTCAAATATTAGTACGTCTGAAGCTGTCTAACTGAATTTGAGACCCCCTTAACACAGAATTGTCAATAATATGAGTTATCTAGAGCGTTAATACGTTACAATTGACTTGGAAAGAGCCGATTTTTAAATTGAATTGATTAATTCAAAAGGCTTGGGCAAATAACATTTGAGAACGTAACTTTATAGCAAGGAACTATAGCGTATGCAGATTTTCTTTGAACACATACGAGGGTCTTGAATATTGGGGGAAAGGGGTGTCTTTCAATCCTGTTTGTCTTTTAATTTGTAAGTCATTTTTTCTCTATTCTTCATATTTTTCTCTATTCCTTATTTTCTTGGCGTCTATTTTCTTCACTTTATTTGGCCCTTTGTTGTGCACTTTTTGTCCATTTATATTCTCTATTCTTCTATAAATCCTATCCAGACCCTCATAAACATACACAATCAATATGTTCCGCTCCTAACCCCAGTTGACATGGATATAGACAATTGTCATCCATGGGGTTTTTCTCATCTGTTGTGATGATATAACATTGCTAAACGAGTCCTTTATAAAAAAAGATGTGGTAAGATTGGCAATGAGACAACTCTCCACAAGAGACCAAATGACACAGAAATTAACAACTATAGGTCACCGTACGGCCTTCAACAATGAGCATAGCATATACCGCATAGCCAGCTATGAAAGGACAAAATACTAGGAGTCCATTACTTCTGATATTACATATAGATATATGATTAATGTATAAATACGCAATCACGTATACGTTCGATGCTAAATTGTTGGCTTTGTTGGAAGGCAAAATATTTAGCCCTATACTGACTGGAACTAGTATATACAACTGAAAACTAGATAAATAATGAAAATCAAGGAATCAATACATGCTATAACAGCAAATCTGAACGAAACCAAAACGCATATTGATAAATTATAAATATACAACTTGCATTTCAGCAACTGTTTTGTTAGTAATTATTTATGATGCAATTCGTGAATAAATTATCCTACACAGTGGAACAAATGGGAAGTCAAAATACGTTAATTTCTGGATTAATACTTCTGCAAAGACGATGTCATTATATTGTTTCAATAAACCGACTTAAATAAAAATCAAATTATAACTTTGTAATGATTATAAATGTTTACCTTTTGAAATAAATTTTGATATATTGAATATAGATACAGAAAAAATGAACTCAAATGTTTTATTTGCATGTATTGTATGACGTATTTAATAACATCTATGTGTAAAGAAAAGTTTGAATTGCCCGATCTTTTTGTAAAGCATGCTATTTTGACGATTACGAATTCAGACTCTGACACTAAGAAAAATCTTATTAGAATAAAAAAAAAATTTCTGATCGGCCGTATATAAACCTCCCATCACTTTATTCATATCACATATCAATTTAAAAAAATTCGCAACGATGTCAAAATAGAAAGGCTGACCAAAATGTTCAACTTGCGGCTAATGATTGACAGGTATGATTAGACCTTGAGGCTCTTGTGGGGAACGTGGTGTCTAAAGTAAAAAGAAGATTATTCAATTATTTATTTTAGGACTCGTACGATATGTCGATCTGATATGGAAAATTGTGAGTTTCTTTTAATAGCACAAAGAAATAAGACGATAGAAGGGTAACAATTTTGTAACCATAAACGAATGACTCGTATTTATAATTTACGGGACTGATTATATCGAAAGTTTGATGAAAACATTCGATTTCAAACCTTCTTGGTTGGAATGAACATGTTCGATGTATATGCAAATAGGTCTTTATTATATAATGTATTTAAATTATCTTCATCAAATACAATACAATATATAACATGTATCTATGATATCCTCCATAAAGAGTAAATATCTGTACAGGTAAACTTTAATTCTGATCAATCGGGTACAGATTGAATTATTTACGACCTTCCACTTGTATTGTACAAGGAATATCACAGCAGGTGTTAATTACACTAGGACAAGTGTCAAATCAGTATGACATCTTGCCGGATAACTGCATCTTCGGTAAAAAGACTCTATTAGTACAGGAACTGATTTCTTTTCTAAACATGACAATAAAGAAGAATTTTATAAGGTGAGAATATTTGTAGTTGTGTATTGCAAAGTTACCACGTGTATTCATCCTGTTCATTGGTCACATTAAAATAGATTTTTCTTTATTGAACAATTACCAAATTCGATATTTAAATCGTAAGTAACTTTATTATCTCGACTGAAAAGAGTAATAAGACAGTTTTGTTTATCTGACTGTAAACATTGTATATATCACAACGAGCTATTAATAACCGTCGCTCACGCACCAGTAGTTCTATTGACGACTCAATACACACCAGTTTTATCGGACCAACGGCTAATTCCCGTCGACACTGTATAATGGATTATGTAAACATCTATATACAACGATCTATTAATAACCGTCGCTCACGCATCACTGGTTCTATCAATGACTCAATACACACCAGTTTTATCGGACAAACGGCAAATTCCCGCCGACACGGTAAATCTCCGGATGACATGCATAATTTTCTGTGACACAGCAAATTTACGATGAACCTCTAATTATTTTCCATTCCGCGCAGATTATCCAAAAATCGCGGTCATTTGCCAAATAGGTCTACCAGTGGGGGTAGCAAGTTATCTTTGTGTATTCCAGTCCTCATGTAAATCAGCACATCAATGTAACCTTCAGTCCTGGGGTAGCAAGTTATCTTTGTGTATTCCAGTCCTCATGTAAATCAGCATTTATCAATGTAACCTTCAGTCCTGGGGTAGCAAGTTATCTTTGTGTATTCCAGTCCTCATGTAAATCAGCACATCAATGTAACCTTCTTCAGTCCTGGGGTAGCAAGTTATCTTTGTGTATTCCAGTCCTCATGTAAATCAGCATATCAATGTAACCTTCAGTCCTGGGGTAGCAAGTTATCTTTGTGTATTCCAGTCCTCATGTAAATCAGCACATCAATGTAACCTTCAGTCCTGGGGTAGCAAGTTATCTTTGTGTATTCCAGTCCTCATGTAAATCAGCACATCAATGTAACCTTCAGTCCTGGGGTAGCAAGTTATCTTTGTGTATTCCAGTCCTCATGTAAATCAGCACATCAATGTAACCTTGCCTATGCCTATGTAAACCATCAATATATTTTTTAAATTTTATAAAGCATGTTAAATCCAAATATTTATAAGTTATGCTCTAAGACAAAAATACAAGGGCTGACATTACTAAAAAATCAATTTGTATTTATTACAGCTTGGTTTACCCTTATCTTGTATATGTACAGTACCAGTTGTGACAAAGAATGGAGCTGTAGGAAGAATGGTATGTCTTGTTTTGTTGAATTTGATGACAGTAATATTTACATTAAATCAGAGTTTTGTAATCCAACTTATTCTTTCACCATATTTTTGTAAATCCATGCCTTTAGTACCTCATACTTTTCATATTGAGAATTTAATAGTTTAAACATAACCCCGGCTAAAATGACATATCTATACATATTCGATACTTCACTAGAAGCGTGATAAATTATTTTCCTGATAGAAATTAGTAAGAGATTTTCTCTTATCTTAACTTTGTGCATAGCAAGCAAATGAGTTAAGAAGCTTTGAGGACTTAACAAACCTTGTTACAAAACATTTTGATGAACCTAATACAAATACTTCTAGACATTAACCAATTACAGATATTTATGAATTGAGAATTCTCATTTGTAAGCATATAACTATAAATTATTTCATTTGCTTGCATATGAAATGATATTAAAACTCTAATAGATAAATTAGTTTACAAAAATAATGTTTTGCTTTGAACTGAATGATCTAACAGTGACACTCCCACTAACTGTAAATTATGTGTTTATGATGTGTAAGATGTGACAGGATATCTGTGAGTGTCACAAGTAGACTTGTGCTGCGTTCACACGTAATTCTAATTCGATTTGCATTAACTAATTTGAATTAGTTTAATTCGCATTCGAAACGTTTTACGTCCAAATGTAAATTCTAATTCGAAACGTTTTACGCCCAAATGTAAATTCTAATTCGAATTGCAATGCGCGTCAAATTAGCTTTACTGTCCAAATGACGTTAACTTTTAATTCATATTAACAAAAACGCATTTCTAATGCGAATTGGATAATGCGATTTAGCAAATTCGAATCAATTCGAATTAAAAAAGAAGAGTGTGTGAACGCGATTAGCGAATTCAATTCGCATTCGATGGGAATTCAATTCAAATTAAATGTACGTGTGAATGAGGCATTATATTATACACTTCACAAAAAACTTTAGATAAATTCATCATTGGAATTTATTTCATCAGAAAGATTTACAATTGCTATCAATTTTTGTTTTCAGAATATAGATGTACTTGAGAATTTGATACGGGATGATATCGCTGCAGCTAAGACACCTGTAATGTTGGTATGCTTTGCAGGTAATTATGTTTCTGTGAAGGTTTTTTTACTGGTAGCATGTTGAAATAAGAGGACTTATTTTCTTCAACAAATAAATCATATAGATATATTAAAAAAAATTAAATTAAAAACTTTTCACATGCCAAGTATACTTCATAAACATTTATATAAACTCACCCAGTATTGTTACTCAAATAAAACTATTTCAGGATTTTCATAAAAGGATTTTGATGGTGAAACGATAGATAAATTTGAAATGAAATGTAGTGAAGAAGTCAGGGATGACTATAAAGAAATCAAAATTTTTCAACGCTGTTGTCATTTTTTCATGGAAATTTGATAATACTGCAAATTCTGAAATTTTTGCATGCAGTTACTATGGCAATTTGTGATCAAAAGACACAACTGTGAGATTTATTATTGCTTAGTCAGGAAATGATGCATACAATTAATGCTATTTAAATTCAAATAGTTTTATTTTTGTGAAACCTTACCCATCACAATTTTTGAACAAATTACTGAATTTTACAGTATAACATTTTGAGTTATATCATAGAAAGGGTATTTTACTGGAAGAACTCATAACAGTAAAACCACAAATATCAAACATAATTGCTTTATATACATATATGTGATTACCACTATCAATTATGAAATACCAGTTAGAAGAAAAATACAGACTTCATACATTGCATTTGAAAACAATCTTCCTTTTGTACATCAATGAGAAAGCATGCTAAATACCTAAAAAAAACTAAAGATATCTAGAGGTCAGCATCTAGTCTTATTGGTGTAATCATTAATCATGTGATCATCTTTATAATGTTTTCTCTAGGTACCCCATTAACTGGACAGGTGGACAATTTAGATGATTTACAGGACATATGTAAAAGGAAATCCATATGGTTACATGTAGAAGGGTAATTATCAAATATCATACATTATTACATTACAAAAAAAGACTTTCTACCTGTAAAAACCTACTGATTTGACACTCTATACATCCATTACATAGTTCATATCAAAGATCTTACAAATGAAATTTAAAGTGTAAACTATATTTTTTTGTGACTAGCAAACAGATCTCAATATTTGTGAATTGGTTGATTTTACAATGATGTACTGTTGAATTACATATTTGATTCTATGTAGAAATGAAGGAGATTTTCAAGATGTTTTTGCATTGTTAAAACTAATAAACAAAAGGGAAAATCCAATATTGTTACAATTGATATGACAGAAAAAATTATTGAAGTACATTTATTGTCGAGCCTTCGACTTTTGTCGAAAAAGCGAGACATAGCGATCCTACATTCCGTCGTCGTCGGCGGCGTCCACAAATATTCACTCTGTGGTTAAAGTTTTTGAAATTTTAATAACTTTCATAAACTATCCTGGATTTCTACCAAACTTGAACAGAAGCTTGTTTATGATCATAAGATAATATTCAAAAGTAAATTTTGTAAAAAAAAAAATTCCATTTTTTCCACATTTTACTTATAAATGGACTTAGTTTTTCTGCCAGTTAACATTACATTCACTCTGTGGTTAAAAGTTTTTAAAATTTTAACAACTTTCTTAACCTATCCTGCATTTGTACCAAACTTGGACAGAAGCTTGTTTATGATTAAAAGCTGGTATCTAGAAGGAAATTTTGTTAAAATTTGTTCCATTTTTTCCGTATTTTACTTATAAATGGACTTTGTTTTTCTTCCAGTTAACATTACATACAGTCTGCAGTTTAAGTTTTAAAAACATTTATTAGATTCATAAACTATCCTGGATTTTTACCAAACTTGGACAGAAGCTACTTGCAATTAAAAGATAGTATAGAGAGGAATATTTTTATTAATTTTTTTCCTCATTTTTGTTGAGCCTGCGATTAACAGCAAAAGTAGGCGAGACACTGGGTTTTGCGGAACCCTTACAAATTTTTGTGTATTATATTTCAAAAACAATCCGGCTACAATGTACTGACACCTCTCTTGAATGCTAAGTTGTCGATAATAGCTACATACATATTTTTGTTAATTTCAGAAACACCTTGGCGACACTGACAATGTTCTCAGTACCGACATCTTTACAGAATGCTAAGTGTGGGGACAGTATGACTCTGGCTATAGGTAGATGGTTAGGTATACCTGGACTTCCGTATTGTGTATCCTTTATAAACAAATTTTTTATAACTTTTTCTTTACAATTAGATATACAATTTTTAAAGACAGTGCCTTAATGCCTTTAATGATATCAGGCAATAGCCATTTCGTTTCTACGTTGGGGGTAAATACGTCATCACAAAAATACCGAAAAGTGGAATTATTTCTTCTTCTATTTGTGATTTTCTGTATTTTTTATTGTAATTCATTGACACTGGGCAGTAAAGAATCGAACAGTGTTTTTTATTAGTTTTCAAAACTGTAAATTGGGAAATTTGGCATTGGGATATTTTGGTGGTTTTCTCTTAAAAGGCATGTGTTTTATTTTGGTGTGTGTAATTTTGGTGCTTCATCCAATTGATGTGTTTAATTTTGGCACAATATTAGTGAGTGAGCTCATTCATATTTGCCTTATAATATATTTCCCATATAATGACCTACACAAACTAGGAACACGACAAAGTTAACTAAATGAAGGAATCGAATACAGATGTAATTGCAAATAATTCTGTATCTCAGGGTTCAGAGCTGAAAGAAAATGTGAAAATAAAATTTATACATTTTATTGACAATAAAATCTAAAACATTAAAATCACTTTTTAAATAGATTATTTATTTATTACAAAATAAACAATGGCAACCTAACGAATACTTCGAAATTTTCGGTATTTAAAGTCTAATTATAAAAAAAAAATGAGAATAGCGATATTACTAACGATCAAAAAATCAAAACATCGAAAAAAGCGTGTAAAGTGGTGAAAAGCGTGTACACGCCATTTGACAAAATCTTCGTGTGTAAACCGTTGAAAAAGCGTGTATTACAGGCGAATATCATGTGAGCTGGCAACTATGTTCCTCCATCGTTAAATTTTCATCTATGGAGATCCCTGCATTTCCATGCCATAATAATTTAATACACATGTTCTTTATGATCTGAAGTTTGAAAACATATTCCAAATTTGGTTTTGAGCCAGATTTCACGGTCCACTGATCAGGTTAAAGATTTGGTTTAAAGTAGTTTACTATGAAGTTGTTGTCACATCACCTTGAAACTTAGTACACATGTTTATTAAGATATTCCAAGTTAGTGTATTAACCTAGATTTTGTGTTCTACTTCATCAAGTTACAGTTTTTGTTTTAGGTAGTTTTCTAATAAGTTGTGGTCATATCAAGTTGAAACTGAGATCACACGTTCATTTTGATATGAACTTGAAATGTATGTCAAATTATGGTTTTGATCCAGATTTCAAGGTTAACTGAAGATGGCAATATGGCCATAATTTCCTATGAACACATGTTCTTGTTGGTTTGATATTTGTAAGGCTACCTTGTTTCAACTGGAAAAAGTGAAATTTTGATTGTTTATAAATTTATTATTTGTTGTTAATTGATTGTTTATAAATTTATTATTTGTTGTTAACAAATTTGAGTAATTATCGCTTTTTGACCCTGTTGGACCTAAGCTGTGTGTCTATGTGTCGACACATCCATGTCTCTCTGAATATCTCATTCACAGCTCCTTTAATAACTAGTTGATGTATTTGAATAAACTCAATAGATATTTTTTTTACTTATCATTTGTTCCATTGTCATCTTTAAGCTTTGTAGATAATCCACCTTAACATTACTTAGACTTTATACAAAACAAATGACCCAGCATTGGTGATAGCAGCTGGTCTAAACACATTTAATTCACAACTGAAGTTAAATTGTCTCCCTTTGTGGATATGTCTTCAGAGTTTAGGACATGATGGAATTGTGGACAGAGTCAAGTCATCTTGTGATCTGGTGAGTGATAATGTTACAGCAAAGCACAAACATATCATGATACAAGATTCTTTGAAAATATGTATTTTAAAAAAGTAGCTTTCAAAATGCTGCAACTCTGTTATGTTATATAATTGTTGAATTGAAGTTTTACAGAAAAGCCAAAAATATATTCTGTATTTAATTTGTTTGCTCGTATATGTGAAAAGTTTTGAAATAAAAAAAAAACTGATATTAATTATTAGATGTTTAGATATAGAGAAGCCTTATTCAGAATAAATGAGGCAGCAGACATTTACATTTGGAATATTAAACATTTATTTGAATATTTTTTTTTCTCGAAACATCGTTTTGATAATTGACCTAATTATTAAAAAACTATTTTGTAGGCGGAAGCATTATACAAAGGAATAGATGAAATTTCAACTATAAAACAATATGTAAGTTGAAGCGCTTTGAATGTTCAAAGTTTATATTATAGTATAATAATAAATTCATGAAGGAGACAACAATGCAACAAATTAAAGAGATCAAAAATAAACATCTGTAAGTCACATCAAGCTCTGGATTGCCAATGTTCTAAAAATATTTTCATATCTTAACTGAGTGAAGCCAGGGTATAAAGAAATTGTGTTGATTCGTTCATCCATTTTACACTTGTTCTCTCCTCTTTCTGCACTTTACTGTTACATTTCAACCAGTGAAGATTTCAATGAAAGCTTCAGAGACCTCGTGTTCAATTGATTTTTAAGGTATCTCATAGTAATACCTTGGAATTACAGATCTTCATTGTGAGGAAGTCATCTTTCTGCCATTCCTATTAAACTATGGGCCTGGATTTCCATGAAACTTTTTACAAAATCTTTATCTTTTTGATCTGAATTATTTGTAGGGTTTCCTATTGCGAACCATAGACATCACACAATTGGGGGAGCACATTTAATAATTTTCTAGCTTTTATTTGTGATAGTGGGAAAAACAGTTTGTGTCTACTTCACAGAATTTTGTTATGCCTTAACATATCTCAAAAGTTTTGGAATTATAGAAGAAGAAATGTGGGGGTTCAGTGAGAGCAACTTAGCAACGCAAAGAACCAGAAGACATCCAGAGGTCAGCATACAGTCTTGAACTATAAACAGAAGTTTCCTTCAATTTAAGTACATATGATATTACCTAGTCCTATTCATAAGATAAAAGTTGTATTTCTCTCTATTTACAGAGTATAGAAAAGAAAGAAGAAGAAGATGTGAAAGGAATCAAGGATTTAATATTCAAAGCCATTTCTGCCCTGGTAGGTCATTCAATAGTCATCTTTTAAAAACTCTTCTCAGCCTGTTCAGCTTTATATTTATTATGCCCCGCCGTAGTGGTGGGGGCATTAAGTTTTACCCTTGTCCGTCTGTACGTACGTACGTACGTACGTCCGTCCGTACGTCCCAAAATTGGTTTCCGTTCTCTATCTTGAGTTTGCCTCAACCATATCAAATGTTATGAAACTTATACACAATGCTTATTACCACAAAACACAGATCAAGTTTGAATTTTGGTGGCGTCACTTTAACCGTTCTAGAGTTATGCCCCTTTATAAATGGAAAAATTGCAAAATTTTTAGTTTCCGTTCTCTAACTTAAGTTTGCCTTAACCAAATGTTATGAAACTTATACACAATGCTTATTACCATAAAACACAGATAAAGTTTGAATTTTGGTGGCGTCACTTTAACCGTTCTAGAGTTATGCCCCTTTATAAATGGAAAAATTGCAAAATTTTTATTTTCTTCTAAATATCAAGTAATTTTTAATAAAATTGGAGTTATCTTCCTTTGTCCATGATGATAGTTGAATCAACTACAATCAATGCTTTATACAATGTAATGTTTAATTTTGACTTCCACTGATAAAACACAGATCAAGTTGAATTTGGGTAGTGTCACTTTAACCATTATTGAGTTATGCCCCTTTATGAATCGAAAGATTGCAAAATTTTTAGTTTCCATTCTGTAACTTAAGTTTGCCCAAAGCAAACATTATGAAACATATACACAATATTCATTACCACAAAACTAAGATCAAGTTCAAATTTTTTGTTTCTGTTTTCTAACTTTAGTTTGCCTCAACCAAATGTTATGAAACTTATACACAATGCTTATTACTACATAATACAGATTAAGTACGAAATTTGGTGGAGACACTTTTACCATTCATGAGATATGTCCATTTATAAACATAAAAATTGCTGAATTTTTCGTTTCCGTTCTGTAACTTTAGTTTGTCTCAACCAAATGTGATAAAACTTATACACAATTGTTCTAGAGTTATGCGTGTTAACAAATAGAAAAATTGCTGAATCTTTAGTTTCAGTTCTATACTTAAGTTAGCCTCAACCAAATGTTGTGAGACTTACACACAATGCTTATTACCACAAAACTCAGATCAAGTTCAAATTTGGGTAGCGTCACTTTTACCGTTCTTCAGTTATGTTCCTTTATAACTATATGATATGCAAGAGGGGGCATCATCTGTGTCCACATGTGGACACTATCCACATTTTTTTTTTAAATGATGACAGTAGATATTAGATATTGATATATATAGATTGTTTTTACTTAATTTTCACTGCAAACAACTGTTTGTGATGATAAATGGATAGATGGGACATGAAGATTTGTCAATGGATAGATGGGACATGAAGATTTGTCGATGGATAGATTGGACATGGAGATTTGTCAATGGATAGATGGGACACGAAGATTTGTCAATGGATAGATGGGACATGAAGATTTGTCAATGGATAGATGGGACATGAAGATTTGTCGATGGATAGATTGGACATGGAGATTTGTCAATGGATAGATGGGACAAGAAGATTTGTCAATGGATAGATGGGACATGAAGATTTGTCAATGGATAGATGGGACATGAAGATTTGTCAATGGATAGATGGGACATGAAGATTTGTCAATGGATAGATGGGACATGAAGATTTGTCAATGGATAGATGGGACATGAAGATTTGTCAATGGATAGATGGGACATGAAGATTTGTCAATGGATAGATTGGACATGAAGATTTGTCAATGGATAGATGGGACATGAAGATTTGTCAATGGATAGATTGGACATGAAGATTTGTCAATGGATAGATGGGACATGAAGATTTGTCAAGTTTTTCTATTTTTATGACTTGTCTGAAAAAATGTACCTTTTTGAGATTATTATGTGTGGGAAATAGGATATTGTCTAGGACGAATAGTTTTAAATTGTTCCAATTAATTTATTTTCATGCTTTTGAGATTTTATAATTTCTTCCAATTGATTGGTAAGGTTTGAATTAATGAAATGTTAATTTATTTATATTTCAGGTTGTGTTTGAGATTGTGACACCAAACATCGTGTTTCAGTATGCAGAGGATGGTGCACAGACAGGGATACAGATTGCACCATACAGTACTAATGTAGAGGACGAAGAGGAACCAGAAGAAGATCAGAATGCTGTGTATTATGATGCTCTTAATATGTGGGTATGTTTCACATCAGGGTTATACCAGAGTTTTGGAGAATTTTCACATTTATGCATTTTCCTATGCCACTAAGCTATTTTTATTATGTCATAGTCATTTAAGAGTTGATTGTTGAATGACGTCATTTGCTCCAATGGATCTCGGGTCAAGCGTTGTAACTCATTCATAAAATGGAACTCTAAATTGGTCTATACCATAGAAGGACACTCTTAAAATGGCTTTCTATATAGTCTAATAGTAGTGTTCTCACCATGAGTGCAGAAGGTTTTGTTTTTTTTTAGCCCTGACTAGGCCAAACCAAAGTCTAAAGTTATTTCCTGTTAGTATGTTGCATTTCGGGTTAAGATCAAAGACTGGTTGCCTTGGAGTTAGAATAATGTGTCTGAGTAGGGTGAACTGTTTTCCCCTTCAGACTGCTATCTCTAGTGAGATAGCATATTAAAAGTAAGACTAAGTATGTGTGCGTGTGGTACAAAGCAGGATGTCACCCCCGTGATGTTTAACAGCCATCTATCAATCACCATAAAAATCTGATTCACATCCATAGAAGCAATTTATCTGTTTGCTATATATGTTTAAATGGAACAGTCTTCAATATTTTATACCAGTATGAATTTGATATATGCTGACTTTATTATTGATGTCGACATTATTGTGAGAGATACATGTAAAAAATCTCACTTCCTTACACACATTTTCTTGCAGCAAGTCTATTTTGTAATTGTGGTATTTAAAGACCAAACAGACTATTGTTGATGCGCATCAACTAACGCAACTTGGTAGTGACATAAAAGCTCTATGACGTTGTTTTTTAGCCATGAAAAAAACCGTCAAATTATAACGTCCTATTTCGCGTTTTTCACGGATTCCAACATAGTGTACGCTTAAAACTACGTCTTCCAAGAAAAGTGGAATTAAGCGTCGCACTATTACCTAGTGGAAATTAAACACAAATGGACACAAAAGATACTACACTATCTGTAACCTCCGTTCTAATAAAAATAATAATAAAAATATCAATTTTAAACTCAGCTTTTTGCATTTGCGCCGATCTGCATTTCACTTTTTTTCTTTCACTTGCACCGATTTTGTCTTTCATTTGCGCCGATTGTGTACAGGTAAATTATAGGTGAAAGTTATTTTTTTATTTATCATATAAACCTCTTCCGTTAGCCAGTTGTACATATGTTATGAATTGTCAATTATAACATGTATATAACTGTTGTCCCCTGCTCACAAAGGTGAGGTTCAAGTAGAATTTCGAGCAGGATAAGTCAATTTAAAAGATATTTGTGCACTCTGTTTACATCTACTAAAATCACAGAGTAAAATTCTATTTACAGCATTTCAAAGCACCACAATAAAATCCATAAAAATGTAATACTAGTACAATGAATAATTATCTTGCAGAGAATTCATATGCCACACATCTGATATATTCCTTTCTTGTCATTTTATCTTTTCTATACTTGTTGTACTTGCCAATAACGAAGTCCATCTTTTCTTTCTTGTGTCAAAACGAAGTTCTCGAACAATATGACCAAAATTATCTTAAACATAAGGGAACACTATTTATATCCATATATTACCATGCAATATACATTCTAGGTTTACTACATGTACATTTATTTACTCGTATAGCAAATGAAGTATCGGGGCTAGTGATAAAAAAAAAAAAAATAGGCGCTAATGAAAGAATCAAATCCGCGCAAATTAAAGATCGAATTTTTTTTTAAATCGGCGCATATCTCGTACGCCCGTGTAACTTTACACTGGTAAATTTATATGACTTACACTTAGAATTTTAACTTAATATGTGATTTTCAAAACTGAGTTTTCAGAAGGTTAGGCCGATAAACAATACCTTCTAGAAGTTTCGATATACTGGCAAAGTATGCATGTTGAGATTAACTTATTTCTTTAAGATTCTCGTAAAATAATGGTGATCTTGCAATGAAGTTAAATTTTATCTATACTGCTTAATTGACAAAATCTTATAGTAAAAATAAAAATGATAAAGGTTCAATGTCTTTTGTCATTTGTTTCATTTCAAATTGTCTCAAGGAGAAATGATAAAGATTTCGCCTGATCTCACAGAAGCTTAAGGCAAAAAATATAAGAAATTAATATACTAAGTTAATGTGAATTAAAATAAAAATTTACGGTTTTTAAAACTAAACTTGTTGTAAATTTAACTTATGACAAAAACAATTGCTTCAAGAATAAGATCCAACATAAAATTTCTCATTTTCAAAAAGCTACAATGACCAGAAAGATTGAAAACAAATTTCGATTTTCAATGCCGGCAATCTATACATACAACATTGTCTTTGTTTTAATTTCCAAAATGAGCTATTTAGATTCATAATATTTCATCCTGTTTTGAGAAATACTTTATAGTTTTCAACGGAAAATTATTTCTTAGATTCTAGATCAATTTTTGAATTAAAAACTTATTTGTATTTTATATTTACTATCTTGTTTATTCAAAACACGTGAGGTAGTAATAACGGGGATCGTATTTTATGATAGGTTAAATGGATGTAAAACGTTTTAGAATCAAAAACTTTAATTCATATATTATACATATAATTTTCTTATATTTTAAATATTCAGAAATAATGAATCCACAAACTAGATGGGGGGTCCTAGATGGAATAATTTGTATACGCTCGTCTTAGTCGGGACACATAATGGTATAAAGAAGTCTGTCCGTGCTAATGTCTGTCCGTCTGTCAACAGTAACTAAAGAGTGTGCTAGGGCGAAGTTCTGAAATTGATATGAAAAAGTCACTGGTAGATATTTTTTAATACTTGAAACGTTTTTTCATTCTTGCGTTTTACTTTTGGCGGGAATGAAATAAATCATATTTTTTAAGATCAAAACAATAAGAGTCTTAAACTCTTGAACCTGTATTTGATAGACACAAATCTACTGTTTAACATGAAACAAGAATTATGCTTGTAGGTTTGATATAATGGGATTTTTGAGAGTTTAAATAACAAGCAAATATCATGTTAATATTCGTCTTAGTCGGGACACATAATGGTATAAAGAAGTCTGTCCGTGCTAATGTCTGTCCGTCTGTCAACAGTAACTAAAGAGTGTGCTAGGGCGAAGTTCTGAAATTGACGCGACAAAAAAACCCACACATCTAGTCTAATATAGTCAATGAGTCTGTAAGTTTGCCAGTGTCATCTTTCATTTCTCTTGTTATTTTCAATGATTTTGCTAATGAGAGGGAGAGGACAAAAACAGACTTTCCTTTCTAAAGCGTCGTAAAAGGTTATTTCGAACAATTTTTCATTCCGACGGATGGTGTTTCTTAAGGTTAATTTTGTGCGGCAACAACATCATGAGATCTGATACTGATACATACATGTGATCTCTTGTATTACCGGAAAATAAAGTAGGTGAATCTAGTTGTTATTCTTGATTCTTGAAAATTTAAATGTGGGTTTCAAACGTCCAATTTGCAATTTTTTTCAAACAGTGCGCCAGCAAGGAAAACTTGCACTATGACGTCAGATTCAATGTTCTGAAGAAAGACAACTCTTTTCTTCAAAACGAACGAGAAAAAAACATAAATATTAATCATAACTTTTTTGAAAGGTCGGTGACATATACATTTTTTTGCTTTATTTTGAAGAGTACACATGGCACTTTCCTTCTTGAAATTTTTATGAAAAAGTCACTGGTAGATATTTTTTAATACTTGAAACGTTTTTTCATTCTTGCGTTTCACTTTTGGCGGGAATGAAATAAATCATATTTTTTAAGATCAAAACAATAAGAGTCTTAAACTCTTGAACCTGTATTTGATAGACACAAATCTACTGTTTAACATGAAACAAGAATTATGCTTGTAGGTTTGATATAATGGGATTTTTGAGAGTTTAAATAACAAGCAAATATCATGTTAATATTCGGGAAAACACGAAACTGAGGTTGCTATAGTGACAAAACTAAGTCGGTGACCCCCAATTTTTTTTTATCATATTTTGTTCCTCAAATCATGAAATACCTTCACACAAAATTTTAAGGAAAAATCACTGGTAGAACTGAATAGGCTGTTTGGTCTTTAAACCAATCAGTAAGATGTTTCAGAAACAACTGTTTAGAACTTTCAGTAGGGTTTCATGTAGTAAGATGTTTCAGAAACAGCTGTTAAGAACTTTCAGTAGGGTTTCATGTAGTAAGATGTTTCAGAAACAACTGTTTAGAACTTTCAGTAGGGTTTCATGTAGCAATCAGAGAAGTCAAAGATCACAATTATGAAACTACATTGTATGTTCAATTTGAATTTATCCCACCAGTTCCTCTGTAATAAAATGTTTTAAAAGATTATGATCATTTTTTATTTTTTTTTATTAGTTAGGAGAAACAATGCAGATGGAATGTCCAAAACTAAACTTCCAGATAGTGAAATTGGAAAAAGAAGGCATCTGCCTTAGGTTTGCTCCACTTGAATGTGCTCAAGGTAATACTTACAGTAATACTGGATTTCATTTATTATCATGGGTTACAATAAAAAGTTCACAAGGTAGTACAAGTCAAAGGGGATGTTAGAGAATCGTCAGTAGACAACCAGCTATTTCACTAAAAAAAAAGACATTAAAAGGTCACACTTTGCCTTAAAAATTCCATTATAGATGTTTTTATATGAAAGAATATCATACCTCTAGAAATTATAGATGTTTTTATATGAGCGAATATCATACCTCTAGAAATTATAGATGTTTTTATATGAGGGAATATCATACCTCTAGAAATTATAGATGTTTTTATATGAGGGAATATCATACCTCTAGAAATTATAGATGTTTTTATATGAGCGAATATCATACCTCTAGAAATTATAGATGTTTTTATATGAGCGAATATCATACCTCTAGAAATTATAGATGTTTTTATATGAGGGAATATCATACCTCTAGAAATTATAGATGTTTTTATATGAGGGAATATCATACCTCTAGAAATTATAGGTGTTTTTATATAAACAATGGATGTTTCAGTTTGAATATATTCGTTTTAGTGAAAGGAATAAAACCAGAAGACGTAGAAGAAAGTATTGTGAAATTGAAAGACCAGATAGTAAGTTTATTACTGCATGAATGATAAGTACTAGTACTGATAAGACACAATATGGTATAGAAATATGACAATCTTAAATTCTGTCAGGTAATAAACACTTCAGATTGGCTGTAACCAACTGACCCTATTGAATGCACCCTTTTTTAGCTCACATGGCCGAAAGGGCCAAGTGAGCTTTTCTCATCACTTGGCGTCCGTCATTGTCCGTCCGTTAACTTTTACAAAAATCTTCTCCTCTGAAACTACTTGGCCAAATTTAACCAAACTTGGCCAAAATCATCATAAGGGTATCAAGTTTAAAAAATGTGTCCGGTGACCCGGCCAACCAACCAAGATGGCCGCCATGGCTAAAAATAGAACATAGGGGTAAAATGTAGATTTTGGCTTATATCTCTGAAACCAAAGCATTTAGAGCAAATCTGACATGGGGTAAAATTGTTTATCAGGTCAAAATCTATCTGCCCTGAAATTTTCAGATGAATCGGACAACCCGTTGTTGGGTTGCTGCCCCTGAATTGGTAATTTTAAGGAAATTTTGCCGTTTTTGGTTATTATCTTGAATATTATTATAGATAGAGATAAACTGTAAACAGCAATAATGTTCAGAAAAGTAAGATCTACAAATAAGTCAACTTGACCAAAATGGTCAGTTGACCCCTTAAGGAGTTATTGCCCTTTATAGTCAATTTTTAACCATTTTTTGTAAATTTTTGTAATCTTTTACAAAAATCTTCTCCTCTGAAACTACTAAGACAAATTTAACCAAACTTGTCCACAATCATCATTAGGGTATCTAGTTTAAAAAATGTGTCCGATGACCCAGCACGCGAACCAAGATGGCCGACATGGCTAAAAAATAGTACATAGGGTAAAATGCAGTTTTTGGCTCATATCTCTGAAACCAAAGCATTTAGAGCAAATCTGACTGGAATAAAATTGTTTATCAGGTCAAGATCTATCTGCCCTGAAATTTTCAGACCAATCAGGCAACACGTTGTTGGGTTGCTGCCCCTGAATTGGTAATTTTAAGAAAATTTTGCAGCTTTTGGTTATTATCTTGAATATTATTATAGATAGAGATAAACTGTAAACAGCAATAATGTACAGCAAAGTAAGATCTACAAATAAGTCAACATGACCAAAATTGTCAATTGACCCCTTAAGGAGTTATTGCCCTTTATTATCAATTTTTTACAATTTTCATAAATTTTGTAAATTTTTGTAAATTTTTACAAAATATTTTCCACTGTAACTACTGGGCCAAGTTCATTATAGATAGAGATAATAGTAAGGAGCAAGAATGTTCAGTAAAGTAAGATCTACAAACACATCACCATCACCAAAACACAATTTTGTCATGAATCCATCTGTGTCCTTTGTTTAATATGCACATAGACCAAGGTGAGCGACACAGGCTCTTTAGAGCCTCTAGTTTCTAGTGGCAGTCAGAATATCAGCTCATCTCATTTTTACCATGCAGTTTAAATCCTTCAATTTGATACAGTGTTTACTTTTTCTATATATGCACAATATATTTGCTGCTGGACTAGCAACTACCTGTCAATCAATGTACATGTAGCCTTGAGAGATTTAAAGCTCTAGGTTTAAGATTTACAGACATATTCTGTTGTTTATATTAAGACAAGCTGCTTTAAAATAATATGTCTGTCATATTTATTTTTTGTCATAAAACAGGCCTTGGTTTTCCTGTTTGAATTATTTCACAATTAGTTATGTCTGGGTGTTTTATAGCTGACTATGCTGTGTATGATTTGTGCAATGTTGATAGCTGCGGGGTGACCTTTATGTACTTACATCCACATCATTTGAGCTCTACGTAGATAGTTGTCTCATTTGCAATCACACCACATCTCCTTATTTTGATATTCTGTAAAATGCATGCTTTTAATTTCAAGGTTGTTTTTTTATAGAACATATTGGATGCTACAGTAGGTCAGAGAGACAAATTCAGAGCTGTTGTGGATCAGCAGAAAAATTTGAAGCTGATAGAGATGCCAAAATGGGCTGGACTTGGGGTTGTGCAGTAAGTTTATTTATGGTTAGAGCTGGACTTCAGGGTTGTGCAATAAGTTTATTTATGGTTAGGGCTGGACTTTAGGGTTGTGCAATAAGTTTATTTATGATTTGGGCTGTTCTATAAACACAAATATTATTGTTGGTATTAACACAGATTTTATTTAAATAACTTTAAAAAACGTTTCACTAAATATGTATTGTTATACAGTTATGAACACTTATGATGACACGGCATGTCAATATTTATATTTTAGCATTTAATCTCGGGCTGTTTGAGATGTGAAACATTTTGAATGATTTAAATGATCAAGATTGTAAAAAGAGATATAATAAAGGGAAGTTTACAGGAGTATTATTGACTATCAAGTAAAACCATCCATAAAATGGAGAAAAAATATTTATTGTAATATGATTTTAACAAAATTCACAAATTAAAAATTTGACCTCTCTACTAAATGGAATATTAGATTACTCAAGAGAGTCAAAGTCATTCTGGAAACATTTCTCTTTTTTTTTCACACAAACACTTGTATTGAAACCTTTTTAAAGATGTCTTTGTTGATAGTATTATTATTTGATTACAGATATTTACCAGAATCATGTGTGAATCATTCTGATCATTTATCACATAAGCCTAGACATGAGATTAACACTGTTAACATAGAGTTAGTGAAGAAACTTAAAGCTACAGACACTGCCTTCTCATTGGGTAAGTTATTAACACTGTTTAAATATATTGTAAGTGAAGAAACAAAGGCTACAGACTGTGCCTTCTCTCTAGGTCAGCTATTGATACTGTTAATGAAGAGTTTTCAAAGCTACATACAAAGCCTTCTCACTGGGTAAGTTATTTACACTGTTGAAATATATTGTTAGTGAAGAAACTAAGGCTACGGACTGTGCCTTCTCTATATGCAAGAGATTAAAACTGTTAACATAGAGTTATTATTAACTTAGTTCACAACTATACTAGATTATGGAATGATTGTTAGGTGTACATGTCTGTCTGCTAGGGTTTATTTGACCTTTACCTCATTTTCATTGTTCATAGGTCAATGTTTTTGTAGATTTTGTGGTTAGGTCCAATTCTTAGATACTATAAGCAATTTATGTGCTTTATTTGATGTATGGAATGATCATGAGATCAGTGTTCCAGCTTGATAGTTTTCACAGGGCAGTCTGCCCGCCCTTTCCCAACTGACACCCTGTGCTCTTTTTATAAATGAATTCCAAATTTCGATTTAAACATTTTTATAGGGATAATGATTATGCAGTGAAATAGTTGTTACAATTTCATTTATGCTGTGATTCCTGGTTTTAAAAAAGAGGAACCCAACTTTTGTTGATCAGGAATGTTTCCTGAAAATAACTGAAGTGAGATTGTGAACTAGATTGTCGGATCCTTGTTCTAATCTTCATATTTATGCATCACATCAGTCAAATCATGCAATAAATGCCTACATTTGTAGCATGCCTAATGCCTTCAAAGATCCTGTTCCTTGAAGGACTTAGGCATATGTATAGCTAGTAATATATGTAATTGGTTCATTGCTGTAACCCAAAATAAGGTTGATTTTCATCTCGCGCAAAAGTGACTAAAGCCCTCAAAATCCTAGCTGAAACCTTGCTGTTTACATAATAAAAAACAATATTTGAGGGGCCAGCTGAAGCCCGCCTATAGGTGTGGGATTTTCTCGCTGTGTTGAAGATCCATTGGTGGCCTTGTGTTGTCTCTTTGACACATTCCCCGTTTCCATTCTCAATTTTATACTATATGGTTATTTGGTTAATGCAATAATGAATATTTTTTTTGTAGGTCGATTAGAGAATGAGTTAGTGTGTGTAAAGTTATATGGTAATTTTGTTAATGCAATAATAAATATTTTTTTGCCAGGTCGGTTAGAGAATGAGTTAGCGTGTGTAAAATTTGGTTTGATCACAGATGACACAGATGTGGAAGAGTTGATAGATCATGTGATGAAGTGTGGTAAAGAGATTGAAGAGTCATCAAGGGTAGGTTATATATGTTTTATGAAGTAAAAAAAACTAAAGATTGGTGATGGAAGTATGAAACAAAAAACTCCTGTAGTACATTAACTTATAAAAAATGTGTCTTTATTACAAAAAAAACCACACTCATAAAATTGGATCTCAGAGGGAAAAGAGTCCTAGCTCATAGTAGGAGTCAATAAAATTGAAGGTTAATGTATTGGTGCTTAGAATGAGCTTTTATCATCTTGCCTAATGTTCAAATCTACAAGACAGACTTTTCTGTCAACACACACAAAAATAAAAATTGTCACAGAGGTATAAAATTATGAACTAATGTAAATTCAAACAAACAAACAAAAATTACTGATACATTATATGGAATTATTATTTTGGCTGAGATTCCTTATTACTTCATTGGCATTGAGCTGACAGGCTTTATCTATCTGAGTTGAATAGCTCACTTGCCTCAGAAGATACAGAAACAAAACTAAGATGTGTTATTTTCTGAGGCATCAACAATGGTTAAAATTTGTGCTAAGCACATTTAATTTCCAGTGTATGATATTTTCATGGAAAGAATTGTCTTACATAAATACAGCATTATTATGATACAAGAAAATTCCTGCTATGTGTTGTATTTAGTACAGTGTTTCTTGCAGTATAATGCAATAAAAAAGAAAAGTTTTGAACAGTAAATTTAATTGTCTTTTCAGTATTTTGAAGCTTTGGCAGATCTTATTAAGCAGGGTATTGAAATAGCTAATGAAGATTTAAAAAAAGAATCAGAAGAAAAATTACAACAGGAGGTAGGTTATCTAAACTATCAACATCACTCCATTTTCATCATAAGTATAAAGTTATTGTCAGATATATCAAACTTTCAGCCTAACAATGAAATGAGTACTTTTGATTTGCTGGGTATTATTTTAGTGTAATTTCATGGGTATAGAAGAACTGCAAATTTAAGATCTAAAAAAATAACAAATTTCCTATTGGCTGGATTTTCTCCATGAAAAGTGATACCCTATTACATGAAAGTATTCATAGTAACAGATCACTATTTCACCTGATTTTATAACTTTTGAATATTCACACTGGAGAAATCCTGTTACCCATGGATGCACATAGGGTTTATTTTCATGAATTTAAGATATCTTGAAAATAATGCTATTCTCTTTGTGCTGATCTGTCCAAATTTGTCATACAGTTATTAGGCATTTTTTAATGCTATAACAATATCAAGACCTAAGACCAGTAAAATTATATCAAATATATACACTAAATTCAATAAAAAGAAAATTTCAGCCCTATAAACAAGTTTACAAACTGATGCTATTAAATTCTTCTCAAACATGAATTTATTTGTTTAAAATAAGATAAAATTGCCACTTAAAATGTATCTATGATATTAGAAAAGAAAAAAATTAAAAATTTTAACATGCAAGTTTCCCTCTAATTTGAAAGATTAAAGAAAGTATGCAATCATATTATGACAACTTATGTTTGTGATTACAGGGCGTATTAAGACAAGTTCCTTTAGTTGGATCCCTGTTGAATTGGTGGTCTCCACCACCTAAAGATCAGATAAAGGGAAGAACTTTTAACTTGAAGTCTGGTTAGTATTAACATTACCATGCTGATTAATATGATGTGAAATACTTTGTTAATATTGTGGACAAATTCTATCTGATTTTACAAAAACAGTTTCAAGATTGTTCCAAAAAAAAAATAATTCTAGTTTCCATCAACAGTTGTTATTAACTGAGCATGAACATTTACATTTCCCTGGGAGAGGACAGAAATTGTATACAACAAATGTACAATAAATGTCAGGGAAATCTGACATTACATGATTTTTACCAATTTTTGGGTCCATTTGCATTAAACAGCAGGGACCTCTGTGGCCAAATGATTAATTATTTGTATTTCGTTCATTGTTTTGTACCTAAATCAGGCCGTTAGTTTTCTCGTTTGAATTGTTTTACATTTGTCATTTCTGGGCCTTTTATAGCTGTCTATGCGGTATGCGTTTTGCTCATTGTTGAAGACCGTACAGAGACCTATAGTTGTTAACTTCTGTCTGATGGAGAGTGGTCTCATTGGCAATTATACCACATCTTCTTATTTTTATAATTAGTTCTTCTACTGTATCACTAGCCTGTCAACACTAAGGTTGTTAGTCTGAACCCTGTACATGGCAGGTGCATTTTATCAACTATAGCCACAATATAGACAATAGTGCTTAAAGTGGCATTTAACACCAACAATCAATCAGTTATTCAATCATTATAGCATACCCATATATTTATAAATGATTGTCCTAGGAAACATTTGGCTCTGATTGTTCTTGATGTTGGTTAGATCAGACAAAACAGTTTGAATGCAGAAAATTAAGTATGTGTGTGAGCAGAATGTTAAAGTGGTTCAAAAGATCCCAGAAAATAAGCTGATACTTCATTGTATTTTACAGGAACAATGGCCAGTACAGAAACAACCTATAAATACCACATGCAAGTTCAAGAGGAAACACATTCAAAAGAAAAAGACAAAAAAGTAAAAACAAATTTATTTCAGAAAGGGAATTCACAGACTGAACCTACATCACCTACCACAAAAACAGCACAGGAAATAAGGAGTGAACTGCAACATGAATCTACTTCTCCCACATCCAAAACTCCTCCAGAAAAGGTAAGCTACAGAATACAACAAGATTGGTAAAATTATGTCATAGTCTACCAGCATCTTTAGTCTTTCAGGAATAGTGTATAATAGTTCCCCAGAAATGGGAATAAACTAGGAGTCCTGAACACAATTTAAATCATCTGCCCACTCACTACTTTAGGGAGGCTTTTCATCCACAGATTATGGCCTCTTAGAATTAGAAAGATTTATCTTAGAATTTCTGTGATCTTTCGCTTTTTTCTATAATTTTATGTAATAATAGATACAAATGACCTATAGTTTTCAATAATCAAGATTTTTAATGACATTTGTCAGCTTCCTAATGGAAGAAGTCACCAATGTTATTTTTTTGCACTTTATTTTCATGGTGGATCTTAGTTGAAAGAAATAGCCACTACAATGTAATATTTGTGCACTTAGACCTAAATATAATGCTTCACTGATTATTGATAAGGAGCACTTTTAAGTTTTCTGCACTGAATGACTAATAACCAGTATGGGAATTAATCAAAAGAAGATGAATGACTGTTGAGTATAATATTGATTGAATTGTTACAGGCCCCGACAGATATCCCAGGATCCCCATCAACAACAGAATCTCCAGCCAATACAGAAGCACCTGGTTCTCCTCAAGTCAAGTTTGTATCAATTACTGCCCATTCATATTAATTTACTTCCTGGTTCTGGGTTATTGAACAAGTCAGGTTAAAGATTGCGAACTTTTTTTTTTATACCTCACAGGATTAAATGCAATATCTCAGAGTAACTAGATATTCCTCAACAATTGAATTGTTTCAACTAAAGGACAGAAGGTAATGTTTTGTTCCCTGCTAGTGCATGACTCCCACTATCACTACTGTTTATGGTAAATTAACTGTCCATACCAGTAATAGTCATTTTATAACAGATTGACTGCCAGAATCTGATGATGTTGGGACAGGCATGTTTATTTGGTCCATGTGGTAAGACTCATGATCTACATTTTAAATCATACATGTTTTTTAAATAAACACTATGAGAGCATGAATTAGTGCTTTCCAAAAGTCAATATTTCCCCTGAATCTTTTTTACGTTATCAAGATTAAATTTATGCTTTCCTGTTGTTTAGTTAAATCCAGCATTGTGGATCTGATATGGTGAACTAAGTAATAAATTGTGATCCATTTTTATCCTCTGGTGGTGGTCATTGAAGCAATGGTGGGAACAAACTATTTGATATTTATCTGATCATTAATTCATTCTACTTTATATTTGTAGAGATGAAGGTACAGACCTGAAATAGAGAGAGTTTGTGGTTATCTGTACATTCCAGGGATTATTTTGAGGAAGAGTGGGAATTCTTGTGTCTGTGGAATACTATGCCATTTATTTGTGATGAATATTGTTTGGATGTGTGCATGTTAACACTGCTTATGTGTAAATTGAGAGGACAATCACATTTCATCCTTTATGTAAGGACCTATGATCTTTTATGTTGGGGCCTATGATCTTTAATGTTGAGAAAAAGGAATTGTAAATTATACTACTTATAAATTGACTAATATTTATATAGAAACATTTTGACACAATCCAGTTGACAGAAAAGTATTTATTTTTAAATAGTTTATTTATTTAAAATGATTGTTACATTTTTTTATATTGAAGTTTTTTGTTTGTTTTTCTGTTAAGAAGCATAATGCTAACTTATTTTTTTCTCTTTTTTTTACCTATTTATACTGTAGTAATATTCAACAAATATTTCAAAGAAATGTTTACAGACTTATCTCAACTTATGAGAACAATGTCCTTCTGATTACTACTTAAGATACTCATTCATACACCTACCAATGTCTTCAATTTTAACATTTATAATTAACTTTCAAAAGAAAGAATACCATGTTTCTGAATATTTACAGTTGATATAGCCCTTTGAATAGAAAAAAAATGTTTTAAAATGAAATGCAGTGCATTGGTGCCTGCAAGGAATGAGAGATGTATATTAATGAGACATTGGTTTAGTCATAGAACTTATAGAATGTGTTATATTTAGCAAGGTGATTTCTCATTAAAAGAAAAAACAATTTTAATAAGTTTATAAAAGTTTGAATGTTTGTATCGAGGCAAAAATATTCCTTCTGTAAGTCAACTTGTGATTGTAAAGAAGTTGATGGTTTTCATTGAGGACATTGATGGATGTGTCTTTAAACTGCCTGTAAAGATGTGAATAATGGATGATTGTCTGAAGTTTTGGTTGTGTGTGATATTGGTATATTTTTTGCCTTATTCCTTCCGTTGCATTTTAAAGGTAGTAAAGTGTTTATTGGTATAAATATAAATGTGTTCAGATCATTTTACACATGTAGTCATAATTGGATTAATTGTAAATGTACACAGTAAATATTGTAACTCTCACCAACCATACAAGGAATCTGTAACTAAAGAGAATTCCTTTACATAGACAAATAGCATTTACACGAAAAAGTTTTGGCATAGCTAGAATCTAAAGCATTATTGGTAATTTTCTTAAAAACATACACAAGAACAGGTATTGGTTAACACAGCCTTAAGAATTAAAATTTAACCAATTTTGGGGGTTTTAACAATAAAAGTACCTATAATTCTGAAGACTTCTAAAGAGTTTATTTGCTTGAATTTGTACACGTTACCATACTCATTATCTAATGTTTAATATGCATAAAAAAGTACAAAAATCCAATTTTACATAATATATTGTTTATTTATTGCATGTGTTATATTTTGATATGTTTTATAGATTTATTTATGGAGGAAATCTTCATGTCATCACTAATTTTAACAAAAAAGAAAGATAAGTGACAGATAATATTTACAAATGCTAAAGTCTTCAGAGATCAGACAGGAAAATATTGATTACGTTTTTCCATATTTATAGGAGCAAGACCACTATTTCATATTACAAGTCTTGATCTTTGTCAAACAAATGTTTTAGTTAACAGTTTTAATGACTTCAAGTGAAAAAAGTGTCATTTGAGAAGGCATCTTTTATGTCATGCCAGATAAGATAAGATGAGATAGTTGGGTTTGAAAAACATAAAACACAGCTCACCAGAACTTTTTTCCGACAGGTTAAAAAATCATTCTTGCCTCATCTGAAATTTTTAAAATTTATTATAGAGGTTGATTTAATTAAAAAACTAAATGCCACATACATTTTGGAATTGAGGGGAAAAGAAATAAATTTATATCTGCATAGTTTATCAAGGTGATTTGTTCCTTGTGTAAAGTACCTCTTTTGAATTTTTATTAATATTTCTTTTAAGTTTTCCATATATTGCTTTTCTTTTGCAACATTGAGTATTTGAGTATTAATCGCACTAACATCCCTGATATAGAAGTTATCAAACCAAATAAACACAAACAATGTCAGTAGAATAAAAATGGCTACACTGATTATCTGAATGATCTTTCCTTTCTATTTTGTTTATGTGATGGCATGAAATTATATTGTACAAGAAAACCATACATTTTTGTTGAACATGACTCAAATGTGCTAAACAGATTATTGTGATATATATAATTGTAAATCCTTATTTATTATTGATATTGTATATGTTATTGTTAATATATTCTTTTTTTATGCTTATGTTATGGGTGGTTACTCTTGGGGAATCATATTTATGGATATAGAGATTGTTTGGGAATTACAATACTGAATTCATAGGTATTACAACATAACATGGTTTTATATGAGGGTTTTATTAATTGATGTTACTGAAAGTTATGTGTAAAACCTATATCTTAAACTTTGATCACAATTTTACTGTTAGAAATATTCCAGAATCAAAAGTTTTTGCTTTGTTCTTTTCCCAATAGATAAAGTTCATACCAATTTTGAAGTAAAATTACTGTAATAGGTGTATCCAATAAAAAATGTTTTCATTAAAGTTTAATAAAAACTATCAGACATGAAAAGAATTAGAAATTATCTTTATTGCCATATGTTTATAACCTATGCAAAGTTTAACTGTGATGATTATGATTTTTTTTCTAAAGAATGAAATACTTGTGTATGCTGAGACAGAGTCAATACTCTTGTCAGATTATTTATTTGATATATTTAGTTTCTTACATTAAGAGACCAAAAACATTAAAAGATATTTATTTGTTTACATTTTTCCTATTTTTTTCACCAAAAACAGAATTCGATGGGAGGAATGAAACTCAGAAAAATATTCCGTTTTTGATTCTGTTAATAGTACTAATGATGTAAACTACAGTTTAAACATATGTTTTAACCTTGTCCATTAGACTTTTGACAAAATGCCAATAAATGTACCAAATGTTTTTGAGGTATAAAATCTGCAAACCTGCTCACATATTAAATAGTCAAACAAATTAGAAAAAGGCTGCACATTCTACTTTAGTTCATTACCATACCTGTGACCAATGTAGCCATCTTGTAATGAGCAAATTCAAAATGATAGATTTTCTTTGAAAAAGCTAATTTTTAAAAATATACACTATTGACCAGAGGATGCTGTAGTTCATCAGTTGATATGTTTTGTTTTTTTACAGTGTATCTTGATGAGAACTATTTAGAAAGACTGTTGTCGATATCTAGCAAATTATTCTCATTTAATAGTTTCTTTGGGTTTATCTGTATGCTCTTTTCCAGCAACAGAGACTTTATATTTTGAATGGAGATTATTGAAAAAAAATATAAAAGAGATGGTGCTCTTTCAGAAATACATGTAATGATCTCATCTGATATCAAAATAAATCATAAAAATGAAGATACTTAATTTTATCCCCTTTGTGAGATGTAAAGAAAAGATGAAACGTAAATGTCTTATTTGAAATACCTGTTAAGAATATTAAAGATACCAGAATTAAACTTATTATTACTATTAAACCGTTAATTGGCACATGTGGAACCACCAAGTGGATTTTCATATTTTATTCATTTGGTGATCCACTTTTATATTTCCTGTAATATTTTTAGTTAAGAGCTATTGAAAGTCTGAATATTGAAGTACAGGTATATAGTAATGACTTTTTCCACATTTTATATAAGAACTCTGAAACAGTATCATTAGAAATGATAAAAGTCTGCAAGCTTGCATAGTTGTATTGCAATATGATATTGGTTTTTTCTTTTTTTATAGTAACTAAAATCCTGTATTAAATTGTTTATGATTTATTGATTTATTAATTTGTTGTAAGATTTTTTTATTGATTGAAAACCATGAAGTAATAAATAAAGAGGGTTATTTTCATAAGAACTGTTTCTGGTTTTACACATGAACCATAATATTGATATGTATGTACATATGACAACAATCCCACCACATGCTCAGAAATCTAACAAATATATGAATGGAGATGCAGGGTAAGCCCTTCAACACACAAATAAAACCAAAAAAAGAAAAAAAGATCAGTGGTCAACGAAAGGCTGCCTACGGAAAAAAGAAATCGACGAAATGCCAAGCTTAAATAGATGCACAAATTATAAGGAATATGTAAGTGACTTTTATGTAAAAGAGTATGTTTTACTTCACTTCTGCTGCTAGTAACTGCCTCTGGAATATCATATTCTCCAAGTCGATAAAATAAACAAGAAAAACAAATTTTAGAACTTGAGACTAAATCTGCATGACAAATCCATCCTATGTAAACAGAATTGAGACCCTCCCAACTATTGGAGGAAGTGACCATGGCATTGTCTTTTGTGAAATAAATTTTGTTATTCCAACACCAAAACAACACCGACATAAAGCACTTCAATACAAAAATGTAGACTGGGAGAACATAAAGAAAGATTTCATATTTACACATGAATATTAAGAAGTAAACAAGACAAGTACGACTGTTGATGATCTATGGACCACCTTTGAAAAAAATAACCAACAGAAACCATCAACAAAATATACCAACTAAAGTAATTGGGAAGAAATCATAATTACCATGGGGAAACAAAGACTAAAAAAAAACTCATCAGAAAGAAAAACAAACTTTACAAAAAGAAAATCATGACTCGTACAACAATAAATACAAAGAGATAAAGACCAAACTTCAAAAAGAGATGAGAAATGCATACTGGCCATACATCGAAAATATAATCTTTGACATTAATATAAAAGAACAAGACCAGCAATGTTTCAACAAGAAATCAAAAAAACTTTTTATAAAAACCCAAAGAAATGAAAACATACATAACACCTCTACGAAGCAAAGATACCCTTAATACAAATCCCTCTGAAAAAGCCAACATACTAAACAATCAATCTGCTTTCACATCAGAAACAAATACAGAAATACCAACGAAAGAACCTAGTTCACACCCTAAAACGGAACAAATAAACAACAGTGGAGAAGGAGTATATAAACTTATCAAAACTATAGACACCAACAAACATACAGGACCAGATAATATTGCTAGCAAAATACAGAAGGGAAATCATCTTCAGTAAATCTCTAGAAACATGCAAAGTACAATCAGACTGGAACCATGCTAACGTTTCACCAGTATAAAGGAGACAAACCTCAACTTGGTAATTACAGACCAATATCACTCACTTGCATCTCATATAAATTACATGAACATATACTAGCTAGTAGCATGATGAAATACCTTAAAACAAATGAAATACTCGAATTGCAAAACGGATTCAGACCAAACGATAATGCGAATCACAGCTAGGTTATATCTCTGGTACACCTACTAGCTCGTTGCAATGATAAAAACATACAAACTGATCAGGTCATCATTGATTTTGCCAAAGCATTTGATAAAGTGCCACACAAACGCTTACTTTATAAATTAAAACACTACGGCATTTCAGATTAGGCAACTAAATGGATTGAATCATTTATCTCCAACAGAACCCAAACAGTCCTCGAAAACACAAAGTCGGAAAAAAATCCAGCAACATTTAGGACAAATACTCTCTTATTTACATTAACGTCTTACCTGACTACCTAAATCACAGCCAAATAAGACTTTGCAGACCCCAGTAACATTTACTGGCCTACTACCTGTCAAAACTATTGTATTAAACTTCAAGAAGACTTCGAAGAAGCAATACAATGGAAAAAAAGACTGGCTCATGTTATTCCTCGTCCTGAACAGGCATTTCAATTGATATTTTATAGTATGTCTTTCTATGTTGTAATGTTACACTATTATTTTAGTTTAGGGTGAGGGTTGGCGCCTTATAAAAACGTTTAAACCCGCTGCATTTGTTTGCACCTGAGGCAGGAACCTGTTTCAGTGGTTGTCGTTTGTTGATGTGGTTCTTAAGTGTTTCTCGTTTCTTGTTTTTTATATAGATTAGACCGTTGGTTTTCCAGTTTGAATTGTTTTACACTACTAGTCATTTTGGGGCCCTTTATAGCTTGCTGTTCGGTGTGAGCCAAGGCTCCGTGTTGAAGGCCGTACTTTGACCTATAATGGTTTACTTTTTACACATTGTGACTTGGATGGAGAGTTGTCTCATTGGCACTCATACCA